ATGTGGCCTAACCCGGAGAAGTAGAGCACTTGGGTAATTGGAATTTTAGTCAGCACTGCCACGACGTTTCAGTCTAGCGTTGTGTCGGGAGTAAAACTTCCGGTCCATTGTCACTAACCTCTTTCTGTCTTGTTTTTCCCTTTTTTCGTTCGCCTGGACTGGTCGGCTTATTTATATACTTATTACATGTAAGTGTGGGTTCACTTGAGGTGGTCCACAGTAAAAGTCAGTTCGACGTTGGCGATGTTATAGTACAAAACCGACTATTTTGGAAAATACAAAAGTTTCTACTCAGTAGAGAAATTACTGGGACATGTACCTAAATACAAATCAACTTTTTTTCCGGGAACATCCGAGTACAGTTATATAAGTCTCACTCCGACGGTACCGGTTATATGACTCCCCATCAGTTGTAGACCCTTAAACTAACACTTATATTAATTCTAAATGTTTCTAAGTCGTATAGTCTTCAACATCACACACACACACACACACACACACACACACACACACACACACACACACACACACACACACACACACACACACACACACACACACACACACAGATAAAATAATTTAGTGACATCAAATCCCCTTGTCTCTTATATAGTATACCGAAGGAGGTGACCAATTGAATTTCTCGTAGAACGTCCAAAAAAAAAAAAGATGTAAATACGAATTTGAACGAACTTTTAATGTTAATTTTTTCACTTACATCCTAAACTATACAAAATGCTCTGTATTCCCGTCCTTAAGTCTCCCTTTCCTTGTTAAAACTCGAGACGAGAATTTTTGACGAAAAAAAATTTCCAGTATGCAGTTTGCGCAGTATAAGGTAGTGTGTCCCCTTTGTAGAGGCGAGAGACTGGCGCCCATATCAATGATCAACGCAACTCAACTCGCCAACACAAAATCACTCCACCATAAAAAGCCATCAAAATGTAACATAAAGTGGTAAACATTAGTACCACGTCATAACACAAACACGTCCAACGTGTTTATGGTCGGACAGTCCTGTAGCTCAGGTGTCATTTTTCCTGGCCTCGATCGCAAGCAAGGACCCACGCAACACGTAGGTGGAGGGACGTCGTGTATGAGAGGTGTCGAAATAGTCCTTTGGCATAATGAAGAGAGAGGGGGGGGGAAGAAAGCGAGTTCGAGAGTAATGTTGCTGTATAATTACCGTTTTGATGAAATTTTACAATGTAGTGCGTTCTCTTATGTGCTCAGTATTAATGTAGTTTTCCCTTCTAGCCGTTTAACAAAAAGAGCGAAAGAAGACGACTGTCGGCTCTTTAAACTCTTCTCATTAGGGCACTTATCTGGCTGTCGGGTAACCTTACTTACCACTTTTTTTTTTGCATCCTCGAATTGTCCAATACCGTCCACGCAAAAATACCATCTTTAATACTGATCGCGCGCATACAACACCTGGACTACTTCGCATAAATATTGATGCTCCGAAAAAAAACACCTTGACCAACCCTGGAAAGGGCCGCTATAACATGCTAGACGCCTCTTTCCAACACCTCGGGATCAAAAGTAGGCAACTATACGGTATAATAACGCTCTTCGTCCACACATCAAAAGCCCTCCCACGTGTCGACTAAGCTCGTGTCTCACTACAACTATCTACGTGACCGCTCTCAGTGTAACATCGCTCGGTGAGACTCGCACCGGTCGATGGGTTTGTGTGTTCTGTCGGACCCCTCTCCTTTGTTTGTCTCGCTGTCTTCACGTGAGTCCTCACTCGTCTGTGTGTAGTTTCGCAATGGATTACGTTGAGGTGTGATGCAGAATATCTCACGGTCCTCATCCTCCTCTTCCCGCTCTATCTCTCGATACAGGCTTCCACACGACACACCCAC